ATCCACATCAAAGTGGTGCCGCTAATACTCCAAGGGACCTCCAATTCTTTTCCTCGATAACCAACGTGTAAAATCCCCCTGCTTGTTCCAACTATTGACTGACTGCAAATTAGTTCAACAGAAATCCACGACACTTCTTTCCTATCCATATTTTTTCCTTCTCTATTACTAAAAAAGAATTAAAAAAAAAAAAAAAAACTAGTAAAATTCATTCAAAGATGAAATCCATTGATTTATTGTAACAAAATGGCATGCAAATTTAATCCAAAGCAAAATATTTAATGATAAAAAATAAAGAAATGGAAAAATAATACATGTTTTGAGCAAAAAAATTAATAACAATCACTGAATTGGTATTTTTTTTAATATGTGTTTGCTTAGTAAATGATAAACATAAACACAAATTATATGCAGTGTTAAAACAACAAATTAGGCAAAAAAATATATTAAATTTGGCGAAAATGACAAAGGTATTCTTTATTTTACAAAATTCTGCTATAATTAGTTTTGATTCGACCCAATTTTTTTGTTTCATTTTTTCTTTTAATTTCTTGAAATCTACTTGCGAATTATTTCTTCGACCAGTTGATTGTTATATTTCAATATTAATTCAAATCCATTTATGATTAATGATTAATTTATTCGAACTGTCAAGAATCTCTATTATCATTTATCTATCGTCCTCTTTTAGTACGAAATATTTATAATAGCAATCTTTAATGGATCAAATCTTTTAACACTCATATATATATATATATATATATATACAGTAAGCTCATAAATTGCTTGGTACCTTTTGCAATAGAATTAATGAATTTGAAATATTTTTTTGTTTCGTTTCCAAAGAGAAATAGAAGATAAGGAAAGTTAAAAATTAGAAATGTTACTTTCTATCACCACAGCCAAATTATGTCTAATTAATTTTTTTCAGCTTTTATGAGCTTATAATTTGATAACAAAGAAAAAAGAAATGTATGATAAAAGTGGCAGTAAGTTTTAGTCCCATTCATCAATATAGTTCATTATAAAAGCATAAAAGATGCAAAAAAAATACTGAATAGATTATCAGTTTCGATGAATAGAATTTTCATTGCAAAAATTGCGATCAAAGAATATGATATCAAAAAACTGAAAATACTTCATAACTTTCAAATTATTAGTAAAAATAACAAGGAATAAAAATATTTGGTTTGATTGTGTACTTTAGAGAGACAGTAAGTGTCTCATATTGATTATTTTGTTAAAAATAATCAAATAGTGTACCTTACGAAAGATATCTTTCACAACAACTGCTGATATCACAAATTCAAGTAAATATTTATATGGAGAGATATAACAATCGAATGAAATGGAAGAGATTAAAGGAAAAGATCAAAGGATAGCCGATCTAATTTTTCCACCAATTTTTAATCAATAATAATCAGCAGACAAGAGGGATTAATTTCGTTGCAACAATTAAGCATTACTGATTGGTAAACCGGTTTGTTTACTGGCAGTAAGCACTAAAACGGAAAATTTTCGTGGTTAATCAGATATTCTTATCATATGCCAGAAAGCAACGAATAATCACATACCATTTAAACAACAGCCCATTTTTGTTCATCGTTATCAGAATCACTAAGTGGTACATTACCTGGCTGGGCTCGTATCACGCGTATCACTGGTCGTGACCGATTACCTGCATAAATCACCGTTGGTGCACTGTTACCGCTACTTGGTACTCGACTATATGGTATAATATTATTACCATGATAGCCAACGGTGACAGATGATGTCCTCCAACCATAAGCACCTGGTAAACGTGGTCCATAGGTACCACCTAGAATAACAAAAACAATGTTAAAAAACAAAAACAATATTATGTTGATATTGCTGATGATGCTATTGATATTTGCGCCAAATGTTTGCTATAAGTAACGAGCGCTAAATGCACTCTTTCTGATGAAAACATAGTACAAGTTATAAAATAAATAAGCAATTAATCTTGAAATTTATTGAAATTAAAAAGGAGATTTTAAATTTAAAAATGCCAAAAATTCAAATATTAAATTCAAAAATTTTTTTATCCCACAATTTGTTAAATCGAATTCCTTTTTTGGTAAAAGAGTTTTCTTTTTGATTAGAAGTTTTTCTGACTTATTTTTGAGCTTTTGAGTAAAAGAGTTTTTTTTTGTAAATAAAATACCTTGCCCATAAAGTGGGAAATTGTGTGCAGAACTGGGAGATGGTGATGGTATATCATCCGTTGATGTATAGTAAACAGATGGAGGAGCACCGCCAGCTGCATTAAGATCACTTCGTGCCGGATGAGCCGGATGATACGGACTTGAGTAGTGTTCCGGTGAGCGCAATGGTGCTGGCGGAGGTAGCATGCCAATTAATGGAAGTCTTCGTTGACGCACTGCAGTTGGCATTGGTTCATCATCATCCGTAAGCATTTGTGGTGACGGTGTACCTACAAGGAAATGAGATCATTGATATCATATGATACCATTATCACTAGCAACAAATTTTATACTGAATTGATAATTCGTAGAGGGATTTTTGCTTGTAAAAAAAGAACTACTAATTAATTGACCTGAATAGATCCGTTGATTCATATGAGTTCCACGTATCGGTGATAATCGTCGCGATCGATTCGGTAAATAACCATCAACCAATGAAAAACTTTGATTATCATTATCATGACCATCATTATCATCATATGCTGGTCGATGTGGTGGTACTCGAGGACCTGAATATTCCTCGTCTCGTTGCTTTATGAAATTACTGAAAAATTTTCAAGTAATTATAAAATTCACTAGCACAACATTATTTCAAAGAAAATCAATTAAAATATGTGTACAATTGAAATAAAAAAAAAGAAGTATGTAGATGTTTGACCTCAAGAGTGTCGGTGAATTACAATTCCGTGACCTTTGCCGGGTATAATTCGGACGTGATGGTGAACTTTCAGGTGAATGTGAAGGTCCTCGTCCTATAAGCATTTTCAATTTGAAAAAAAAATCATAAGTATAAAATAAAGGAGTAATTTATGTTCCTTTGCTTACAGTAGGACAGTTTGTTTTACTCGAATAAGCGAACTTTAGCGAAAAATTTCTCGAATAAGCGAACTTTTACTGACCTTTTATTGTTACTAACATTCCTTAAGTAACGTGAAAACTGTAATTTTGAAGAAGATATTTGAAAATTTTGCTCATATCATTCGTTATTTTATCATTTTCAAAACCTACGATAATAATAATCAGTGGGTGAATTCGATGTACAACGACTTTCATGCGGATAATCCGATATGTCTTTCTCTGACCTTTCCTTTGGTAGTAATTGTTGTATCTGAAAATGTTCATTAATTTTATTATACTGTACAAATGAAATAAATGCTAAAATACTGTAATTTATGAATGGATGAATGAGTGCAAATACCGCCAATCATTCGTTCATTATGTTGTCAGATTCGCAATTGTCAGTACTAATCACATATATATGATATCAAATGCGTTACTCCCAGAGAAGTCAACTTATGACAACAAAAAAGAGAAACGAAAAAAACAAACAAACAAACAAGAAGGACATGATGAGGAGAAAGAAATTATGTTATCATGCAGTAATACAAATATTTAAAGCAACACACTCAAGCATTATGGTAGTTTAATTATGCAAAATTAAATTAATTTATTGATGAATTATAAGCTGCAACAAAATTTTACTTTTTAAAAAAATTCTTAAATGATAATATCGTGTTAAAATTTAATTAAAAAAAGGGAAATGTTTACTCCGAAAATAAAGAATTACATATAATTTAATAGGGATGGAAATACAAATGATAGGGAATTTCACTCAAATATCCCATTGCGATCGAAAGACTCGGATGGTATCACCTGCTACAAGGTGGATGATATTTCCGGTGATACCATCGTTCCTTCCAAAAGAAAAACTGGACGATATTTCCGGAAAACAAAAGGATGGACGTTATGTTATATGATAATCGGACTAAGGCACTAACAAAAGGAAAGTAGTTCGCGTCATCAAAAAAGTTCTGCTCATGTTGAAATAATACTTTAATAATTAGTACAATAAGCATCCGGATGATACGTTACATGATCGTACTAGGTATATAATCGTGATTATTCTTACGAAATTTGCATATCTTGCATACATGGATATCTGACACTCACCAATCTGCCACATTCGTCTTTCATTTGACAATACAAATATAAGTCGGACATACGCCGAGCAATATGTATCTCTAGAAGGTACCTTCTGATATATGTAATATCATTTATCATATCATATCATCTAATTAATCTATTCGTTTGCAAAAGTTTAGGACCATTTTTCCTTTTCGAAGTATTTTTTTTTATAAAAGCATTATCATATAATAAAAAATGACGAAAGAATAATATGAATAAATGTGAATAATGAAAAATGGATAAATTTATAAACTTGAATATAAATATAAACAATCCAAAAATTAAATTAAAACTTGTTAATAATTAACAGAGAACAAAAACAAAAGATAAAAAAAATAAGAAAAAAAAGCAAAATAAAAGCTCTCTGTCTCTTACACAAACTAATTAAACGGTAATTAGCAAATAAATTTTTAAAGCTTATATTTCACACCAATACATTTTACCTCATCAGAAGTAGCATTGTTATTAGCATAGAGACTCAAGAATATTCCACCATTTGCATAATGCTACAAATTAGTTTTTTTCTCGGATTCTTTTTCATATGAATTCCATTTTAATTTCTTAAAGTGGATATCGAATAATGAATGGTAGTAATGCTTAATTAATCGAAACTAATTCATTCAAATAATAAACTTGTTTCGAGTAACTTAAAGTAATTACGATACTCAAAGGAAGCATCATACTGAAATTTTCCAAAGTTTGTATAACAATAGTAAGAAAAGATACTATAAAAAATCGCGTATTATAGTGAAATAAATTCTACACAAAAAGATAATTGCTAACTTTAAAAAAGAAATCATTGTTAAAATT